ACTATAACAGACTCTCACTAATGAGGACACGTTAACTCCAGGTTGCTATAAAGGTTGCAATAAAGGGAGTTGACTGTATGTGAGTTGAGTTCGCTGTTGGTTCATGCCTTTATTTCCAAAGGTTTTTCCAGACACTCTGGTTTACCCTCTCCTCAAAAACCAACATTTCCAAACTCAGGAGTGGATCTAGGATCAACACTGACCAATTTCCTAAATAAATGAGCAACAAAGGAGCAAGGTTCCAGGGAGGTCTGGGGGCATGCCCCCAGAAAATCTCTAGGATTTTAACTCCCTTAAGTCCTCTTTCAAGGGGTTTCTGAGTTACTGACTATGAAACAAGGACTACACAGCGTCAAGTGATGTTCCAGCTTAAAATCTCATAGCAAGTCTAATGCGCAGAAATTGAAAAGAAAAATGTTTAAACCTTTTTCCAGATAATTTTCAACTTTAAAAGGTTTTTTTTTTTTTTTTCAATTAGAAAAATAGGACCAGTTTCCTTAAATTGGCAGAAACTGGTGTGGATCTGCACCTGAAACACCAATTTGATCCATGTGGCATTTGAAAAACTACCTTGTGGACATGTGGCCACTTAATTGTTATATTTTTGTATTTTTCATTTTCTGGCTATCCCTAGTTTACAAAGGCCTTTATTCAAAGACCTAAACCTCAAGTCATTCAAGTTACTCTTGAGGAAGATCTCGCCACTCCTGAGCATTTCCTCATGACTGATTCCTGAATCCTTAGTTGAACATCAGAGAAATTTTGCAAACCAGCAATTTCAGGTCATCATTGAACTCTATGTCAGAAAGATCCATTGTACCTTCCATGCACAAGCATGCTGTCTCCCTGATTGAGTTTGAATAGCAAAAGCCTGTAAAAAGCCCAACAATAGTAATAATTGCAAAAATAGCAATAGCTCTGAAATACCTTGGAATCTTTGATGTGAATTTAGGAGGTTTTCTTTTCTCTTCTTTTACCTTCCTTTGGTTAGTGTATTCTGTAAAAAAAGAAAAAATATTTCATACATTTATGACGAAAATGCATGACAAAAACGGCATCCTCAGGTACACATAGAGAGGCTTTATCACGTCTACTGATAGCAGCTATTCCGCCATCAACCTATAATGCACTATTGTCTTGTTCTGTTGTTTGAAGTTTATTACGTTATATTCACTTGGTACAGAAATACAGTGTTTAGAGTGGGGCATTGGGATTTTTCGGTTTGGCCATTTTTTAGGTTGGTTTTTCGGTTTTGTTGTCTGTTGCGGTTTCCAGTTTTTCTGTTGTTTAGCATCTTGTTTTTCGGCTTTTTGGCAAAAATAAAGTGGTTTTTCCGATTTTCGGAGGGAAGTCAAAGACAGACCTGTGGGCGGGGCTCCCAAAGTGGTTTTTGTGGTTGTGTTGCATTATCAACTGCACTCGCAAGTTACATTTTCTGATCGTACAAGCATGTCTTTAGAGATTTACCTCTTTTGTAGGATATGATAAGAAGTCTTTTAAAATTGTTTCCAGCAGGGGCTGATTTTTTATTATTATTCTATTGATTTGCCACCAATTTCTGATTTTGTACCACTGGGTGTTATGTTCTAACAAAAGGCAAAAGTCTCTCTTTACTTTTTTGCTTTTGTTTTAGCACCAAATGTCTTGAGTCAAAGTTGACCTCTGACAACAACCTTTCTATATCTTGTTTAGGATACCTGCGGGCTTTGAGGCATTGTTTAACATTCACAAGGCACTCTTCAAATG